GATCCCGGCGGCGCCCCACCTTCCAGCTGCCGCCCCGCGGTGCGCCGATGCCGGCCCGGCCAGTTGAGTGGTAGCAGTCGCGGAACGGGCCAGGGGCCGGAGGCGCAGCCGACTCGCAGACCGACCGACCGACGACCGACATGGGGCAGCTCGCGGCTCCGACGGTTTTCCTCCTGCTGCTGGGGCTTCTGGCCGAATCGCTCGCCGGCTTCCCCAACACCATCAGTATAGGTGAGAAGCAGGCGCCCCGGGCTCCCCCCCCCCGCATGCTCTTCCTCACCATCTTCCTCACCACCACCATCATCCTCATTTTGAGTGTTGTTGGATGAAAGCGTGGGGGGGGGGGGTTGCTTCACCTGAGAACTCCGTATCCCACTGCCTCCCCCCTCCCCAGCCTAGGTGGCAATCAGCAGCTCGCCCGAATGAGTCGCTGATCATCCTAGGTGATAATAGGAGGAATAGGAAGGGAACCAGCCGAGAGGAGAGGCGAAGCTGCCCACTTTTGCCTGGGGGGATTATAAAATGGGGAGGGGGGAGGCGGGAAAGCAGGAATGCAGCATCCTCATCTGTGCTGTTATTTAATGCGGCTTGGGGTCATTTGGTACCATTCGGGATCTGAGCTGAAGTGGGGTATTTAAAAGCAAGCCTACAGATTCACACTGGGTGCAGAGGAGCGGATCTCTCCCCCGCCCCCCATGGATTGCAGAACAAAACTTCCATTGATTTTTCCAACCAGACCGCATGTCTCTGTGGCTGCTGCTTCGATGGCCACTGAACCCCGGCGAAACTTTTTTGCTTTTGAACGGAGCTGAGGTGCCTCCGTTTTAAGCCCCTCAAAATGCCCGGCTCCTTCTCGAGAAAGAGGTTCTCTCACTTCACCCTGGCATCTCTGGCTGACAAGCCCTGCTTTGCTCCCAGTGCGCGGGAGGGGCAAGAGAACCCAATGTGCCAGACAAATAAGATGAAGCATTCATGAGGTGCCCCCCCAAGCTGGCATGGGGTACACAGCCAAAACTGTGGGGGAGTGCAGGTGGATGATTAAAATAATCCGTGCCTTGTCTGCCTGTGTAGATCATCCAATCCGTGCTGCAGCAAATGCTTTTTTAACTGTTCTGCGTGTAGGAGTGCAAAAATTTCCTGCCCACTTGGGTTCTTCTGGGGCACTGAAAAATGCCAAGCTGCACTTAAAAATAGCATTTTGTTCATGTAGCATTTACCTCTTTGGGTTCGCCCCCCTCTTTTCCAGCTACATTTTTTCCCCTCCCCCTACGTGCTCTGCAGAAGGAGCAGGTTTGGGCTGCTGCGCTGAAAAAGAGTTCCGGTGGGGTGGGCTGGCTTGGAAACAGAAGGGGGAACAGTTACTTTTGGGCAGCTGATACTCTTCTAACCCCTTCCCTCCTCCTCTGCCTCAGAGACATCTGGGGTCTGCCATTCTGTCTTGTAGATAAGCCTCCATTCAGAGCCCTTCTAAAGTTTGCTTAGGCACCTCTTGCCTCTGTCTGACTTGGGCTGCTTTGGGGGGGAGGGGGAGGGAGCCCAACAATTGCACATTTAAATCTGGTGACCTTTCCATGTTATACCTGGAGATGAGAGAGCTAAGGTTGCTCGATCTCCAGTAAGCATCTGGGTCTCTGACCATAGTTTTTATCCATGTTTTCTAATAAGTCAATTGCATTAGGTTCAGCGAGGCAGACCCTCAAAGAACTGCACAGTTCTGGGATATAAGAGGCTTACAGTTTTATCCTCAGCCCTGACTGAACGCATTTAGGCTGCAGTCTTCTACCCATTTACCTTGAAGCATGCCTCCCTGAGTGCAGAAGGGTTTATTTCTGGTCACACATAGAGAGGGAGGGGAATTGCACTGCTACATTCTGCCCTGAGCCTCTCCCACTCTGAAGTATATCTATCTCACTGCTGCCCCCCCCCCCCCCCCCC